ACTTCAGAGACAGATCCGAATACTGAATAGGAACAGGCCAACGTAGCTTACGGAAAAGGAGATCAGAAAGACTAAACCGGAGCTAGTTTCGTTTTCGTGAGGCGCGCAAGCAAGAGGTTCTCCTTTATAGCAGCTTGGATTCTCCTCACTGTGTCAACAGGATCTGTCCCGCCTTTGTCCCTTCAAAAGCCAAATAAGTGCTTTTCCGTCTTTCCCCTCTCATCTAAGTTTTGGGTTCCTCTAGTTTCGAAACCCAGTGCTTTAGTCATTTGCGAAACAGAAAAAGAACCTGCCCAATTGGAACTGGCAGAACTGGAGCGCTTGCTGGGTGTACTGTAGCTGGGGTAAACCATCGGTAAGGAAGATCTCAATGCCCTTTCCTTGCTTGTAAGCCAAGCCTTCCCTATTTTTTTATCAGTGCAGTAAGTTGCGCGCGAAAGAACACTTCCTAGTCGCTAACGGGGGTGCTCCAAATGGGCTCTCGTAGCGGCCGGGCTCTTATCTATTAGCGAATAACGAACGCTACCTCGCGGGTAGGAGTACCTTTCAAGGCCCCTTTACCCTATACTTGGGGTCGGACATGCATCAAAGTGGCTCCCCCATCGAAGCAATTGCCAAGTATACCTCAACCATAAGCCTGTCCATCTACCCTGCCTTCGGGCCTTGCCTTCCCTCTCGGAGAAGCAAAACAGAACGGGCCAGTGATCGATCAATCATAAGTCATATCGTTTCTACTTTTTCGGGAAAACCGGTCTTAGGGTATTAGTCACGCTTTACGTGATAGGCAGGCTTGGGCTATGCCGATTCAATATCAGAGAAGTACGAAACGAGTACTATATATTGAAAGCAAGGAAAGACTACTACTACTACTCCATATACGAGACTACTCCTCTTCCTACTCCATTAAGATTATAAAAGAGAAAGAATAGAGGGGAAAGAAGAGCTACTCTTCCTTCTCCAACTGCTAGTACCGGCAATAGACCTGTTCCCATTCCTACAGCTGCCTACTCTTATTCCTAAACGAGTACTATATCTGATTTAGAAGAAAAGAACTTTCTAAAAGCCAACTCATGTTTCCACTCTATTTTCATTACGAAGATGTATTACGTCAGGATCTCTTGCTCAAACTGAATCACGCCAACGTTATGGAAGTGGAAGGATTGTGTGAAATAAGAGTAGTACCAAAGGCACCTTATGATTTCATAATCAAAAATGGAAAATTGGCTATGGAGATTCCGTGCGGTCAGAAATTCATACAGACACAAAGGGGTTCGACAGGAAAGTCGTTTCGATCCAGGTCAAATAAAGACAAAAAAGGATATGTCAGTGACCTAGCACGACAAAGCACTCTCCGAGGGCATGGAATGTCTAATTTTTTGGTCAGAATCTTGACAGTAATGTCTCTCTTAGATTCTCCGGTCGAAATACGGGAAAACTCCATTCAATTCTCGATGGAAACGGAGTTTTGCGAATTCTCCCCAGAACTGGAAGATCATTTCGAGATCCTCGAACATATTCGAGGGTTCAATGTGACTATTGTCACTTCGGCCAACACACAAGATGAGACTTTACTACTGTGGAGCGGCTTTTTGCAAAAAGATAAGGGGGAAACCTTCCTCTAGTAGTGTATCAACTGCCGTGTCTATCCGAACGGAACCCTCTTTTACATGGATCCCTGCTAGGGGCACTCTTTGAAGAAAGGTACAACGTCTCACTCGGCTTTCAAAGCTTGGTTAGGAACCCCTTTTCGGAAGGAACTGACATACTTAATCTACGAACGGGATTTCACCTGACCTTCCTTTCCCAGGACTGAAAGCTAAAATGAATGAATCTCCCCGTCTTCGTCTCCCTAGAAGGTCAAATTTTTGGTTAAGGTGGATCGAATAACAATAACTAAGGCTTTCGGATCCAACAAGAAGGTGAATTGAATATACAGTCTTAACTTTCTCAACTGTGATCGAATAAGCTGTTTTGAGGTCTAGAAGCAAGGGAGCCAGAGGCTTGGGAAAGGCAGGGAAGTAACTGAACTGACTTAATCCCTTTTGTATTCGAAGAGCTGAAGGCTTACTAAGGCAAGCAAATGACATAGA